ACGCAGCTAAACAGCAGGACGCTGCGTGGTTCTGCCCCACTTGCAGGCACACAGGACAAGCAGCTCATTGTCCCCCACACCCTGCCACCAGGACAGGGTCAGGAGGGGACAAGGTGCAGTGACTTTTGGCTCATGTTCCCGAAAGAAAAGCATTCCGTGACAGTCTTGTGGTTTCCTGACCGTGTTGGCCAGGCTGGTCTCACACTCCTGACCTCCAGTGATCCATCCGCCTCAGCCTCCTGAAGTGCTGGGACTACAGTCATGAGCCACTATGCCCAACCAGAATATGTTCTGATTAAATTTACAATTTGGTTTGAGCTCCTCCAGTTCCAGGCAAGATGGAGGGGACACATTTCACCCTGCTCCTCTCGCATATCAGACCCACCGCCCTGGAGGAAAATATATGGAACAAGCACTGGCGGACTGCAATGAACAGAAGCCAACCGGCCACGGGCCTCGGCACTCGAGAGGTAACCCAGCACTGAGGCCCTGGGTTGACTCTGGGGTTTTGTTTATGTTTGTTTACTACACATCCCACTCCGGGTGCCACAGAAGCTGGCAGCCCAGAAACACCAAAAGACCAAAAACCGTAAGCTCTCCATAGCCAAAGGACCAGGAGGGGCCTGGCAGGACAGACTCTCTTCACATCACCAGCCCTCCTGCAAGCAAACCCACACACACATACACAACCACACACACACACAAACACCCCTCGTCCACCTGGCCTTGCGTAGCAGCCAGCACTGGGGTGTGAGAATGGATCCTGACTGCTGTCCCGGCTGGCTAGAACGAGGTGGTGCCCTTCACCCTCCCAGCCAGTAGGGTCTGCCAGAGCCTGTGGGTGAGGCAGGAGCCCCACGACTGTCCCGGCAATGAGGCTGCACCCAGCAGGCTCGAGTGAGGAATCTTCTCAAGTAATGGGATTTAAACAGGAAGCAGAGCCTCATGACATCATACTCAGCAAGTCCACAATACGATAAAAAATGACCAAGAACCAGAAAAATGGCAATTTGAATGAGAAAACATAGTCAATCAACAGATACCACCAACAGAGAACACAGAATTCAGGTCTAACAAGGATTTTAAAGTGACTGTCATAAAAAATACTTCAAAGAGCAACTACAAACACTTGAGACAAAGGAAAAACTAGTCTTAGCAAAGAAACAGAAGATATAAAGAAGAAACAAATAGAAATTTCAAAGAAAAATACAATAACAAAAAATCACAAGAGCAGTTTAACAGCAAAATGGAGATGACAGATGAAAACCGTAAAACTGTAAAGAAGGCCGGGCACAATGGCTCACACCTGTAATTCCAGCACTTCGGGAGGCAGAGGCAGGTGGATCACAAGGTCAGGAGATCAAGACCATCCTGGCTAACATGGTGAAACCCCATCTCTACTAAAAAAATTACAAAAAATTAGCTGGGCATGGCGGTGGGCGCCTGTAGTCCCAGCTACTTGGGAGGCTGAGGCAGGAGAATGGCATGAACCCAGGAAGCAAAGCTTGCAGTGAGCTGAGATCGCGCCACTGCACTCCAGACTGGGAGAGAGAGTGAGACTCTGTCTCAAAAAAGAAAAAAAAAACTCTAAAGAAAAACTAAGAGAACCTGTCACAAGCAGACCTGCCCTAAGACAATCGCTGAAGACATTTTTTCAAATATAAAGGAAAGACAAAAGAAAGAAACCTAGAGC